CTGAATAACGCATTCTATTTGGTTGTCGATGGAAAAAAAACAAGAGTATGCAAATTATTTTTTAGGAATACCTTAGCAATAACTGATCGCTTCATCAGAACTGTGAATGAAAAGAAGATGTCATCACATTGTGGTGTTCTCAGTCTTGACGGACGTGGCAAACATAAAAAACATCGATGTACTGATCCTGCTACTTTGAAAGCAATTCGAGAGCACATAGAGTCAGTACCCAGGATAGAAAGTCATTACTGCCGCAAAGACTCTCAAAAAGTATATATTGAGGGGGGACGGACAATCATGGATCTATACAGAGATTTTGTCACTTTTTGGAAAACTCAAAATGATACAGAACCAGCAAACTACCAAATGTATGCTAAAGTATTCAATACAGAGTATAATATCTCGTTTCACCAACCCAAAAAAGACCAATGCGAAGATTGCGTACGATATGGAAATGCTACCAGCGATGAGAAAACTGCATTGGAACCAAAATATCAGGAACATCAAAAAGAAAAGAGACTTTCACGACTTGCGAAGGAAGAAGACAAAGAAAACGCAAAGGCAGATAGTAATCACGTAGTGTTAGTGTACGATCTCCAGGCAGTATTGCAATGCCCCAGAGGCGATGTTTCCACATTTTATTATGTATCAAAGCTGAACGCCTATAATTTTACTGTGTGCGATTTAGCAACAAACAATGTTCACTGTTATACCTGGGACGAAACACAGGCAAAAAGGGGCGCTAACGAAATTGCGACATGCCTTTGGATGTACATGAAGGGATTGGAAGAGAAAGCAATAGAAGCAAAGCACAATATCGATATTGTGTTCTATTCAGACAACTGCTGTGGACAGAATAAAAATAAATTCATATTTTTAATGTACGAATATGCCATCCGTAGCTTCAAAAATGTCAATTCAATTACCCACAACTTTTTAGTCAAAGGTCACACCCAAAATGAAGGTGACAGTGCTCATGCAACTATCCAGCGAGAAATAACTAAATCGCTCAAACGGGGACCAATTTACACTCCACAACAGTATGTAGCATTGATGAGGACAGCGAAAAAAAAGGGTACGCCGTATGTTGTAGAAGAACTGAGTTACGAGTCGTTTTTCGATTTCAAAGATTTGTCAAATAACATTAAGGCATCCGGATTTAAAGACTCTAACAATGAAAATGTTCGTGTCAGTGAGATTGCTGTTCTTCGAGTTGAAAAAGCAAAACCCCAAAAGATACTATATAAATATCTCTACTCTGATGAACAGTTTCGAGAAATTAATATATCCCATAAAAGAAATACCCGAGGTAGTGCAACTTCAGGTGAAGTTTCCACTTTGATTTTGAAGCCCTTATACGATGGACCAGTGGGGCTAGATCAAAAGAAAAAAGATGGTCTCCTCAAGCTAGTGGAAAAAAATATTATACCAAAATATTATTCTTCTTTCTATAGCAGCCTTTGAATTGGCCATAATTTTTACTTGTCATTTCATGATGATATTTGGAATATAGTTTTGTTTTTTTCGGATCAACTATGATGTCTTATTTCTTCACATAAACCTATCACTTACTCTGATGTGTCAAAAATAATAGGTCAAAATTAAATACTCTTATGATTGAATACTGGCATAACTCAAAATATTTTTCAAATAAAATAAAATATTTGGAACTATCATCACTGAATAGTAATTGGGCATTGATAATTCGGAATCTAAAATATTTTTTCCCCAAATTGTCACAAAAAAAACAGATGAATCCCTATCCAAGAACACATTATGCCTGAAACATAAAGGGTGAAATTTTTGGATGGCTCTCCTGAACATTTGTGTTTTTTGAGTTATGTCGTTATTGCAGAGGTCCATCGATATGACAAAACATCCTGCATCATGGATCTTGATGAATCTGAAACCATTTCGAGAAAACACATCAGGCTTCTTGTTTTTGCAGTCAGAAAAAAATTTAAAAAACTATAACGGGGCGACCTCAAACTTTTCTAAAATTATCACACTTTCAGATATCATCCTGTAGGTCATGATTCCGAAAAGGTGGAGAAACGTGAGAAAATTATTATATAGACTGAGCAATCAGAATACGGTTCGAAAGCAAACAAAATATTCGCTTGTCTCACTTCAAATGTGGAGCTTTATACCTTTATTTAAAAATGCATGTTCACTGTGAAAGGGTTTTATTCAATACTTATTCCATTAAATCTCATTTCTCACGGCAGCTGAATGTTTGATAATTTCCAAATCAGTGGCTTTTAGGTACGATGCCATAATATAAATACTAAAATATAGTGCTGACAAGTATACCGAAAAAATGTTAGACTCGACATAAGGGTGTATACTGTGTATAGATACATATACCGTGGGCCATCTCACGTAATGACGTATCTCATAAAAATCGTAATTTGAGATACTTCGTCAAGTAGGTAGGTATATATGACTTATATTCTTGTACTCTATGATCTCAGTGATCTCACAGAGTGGCGGAGCTCATGCAATATTCAATGGTTTTCGTGTAATTAAATATCGAATACTCAGCCTATCTCAAATTAATGGACTATACCTACATATACTAAATCTCACGAAGTGACCTATAAGGAGTTAGGACGGGAGATATAATTTTTATTATTTGTTGAAAATTTCAACAGTGACGTACCTATCTCACATCGGGTTTGCCGCGGAAATTAAAATATCTCGGGTGACGTTTCTCAAGGTACTGAAAGGGATATTGTGAGGTATTTGTACAAGTTGAATGAATTTATGTGTTTTTATCAATAAAAATGAATATTTGGATCTCTTATTCATTTGAATTCACTTTATATTCTTGGGTGTATATCTATACTTATAAGACCACATTAACAAACATGATCCCACGTAGTGATGAAGTAGGTATATATTAGGTACCTACCTATCTTACAAACATTTTTTTTTTCGTTTTTGGCTATGCTTTTTCGTAATCTCACCATACATATCATACTATAGTTCTAGTTCTTCCATCACTAATAAATGAAAAAAGAATGATCTTTCATCTAAACTCACCTTTCTGCGTAGGTATATTGACGGTACCTATATATGATTTGACTTGATATACTTATAAAAAGAAAACAATTTAAGTTTGAGAACATCTTTTCGAAATCCACGTATAGATATAGATAGGTATAGTATAAGTATAAATTCATATATATAGGAACTTGGTCATCCTGATGATGTCTATATACCTATACTTATACTTACCTATCTATATATACCTATACCTGGAAAAAGGCCCTCGAATTATAAATATATTCATTAAAACGACATAATATTATTCATCAGGTATAAATAAGCAAGTATTTCCAAAGATTACTGAATGACTAGATCTTCTGTATAGTCTATGGTATTTCGCAAGAATATTTGATTCATTTTGGATCATCACTAAATGCCGATGCCACACAGGTATCAAAATTAGTAAAGACCCTCTTCGCCTGGCACGTGTTCCCTCTAATATAGTATAGGTATCCCTCTATCTCTCTTGCACACAGATTCAGAGTTCGTGTTCGCATTTACATACTTCCATTCAAAATCAAATGTGTCCACACAGATGAACACGGTCACACAAAAAAAGCAACACTGACAGGTGCGTTTATATTTAGAAGGGAAGGTGGTGGTTTTTCAAAAAGCCGATTCATTCAGAAGCCTCAAGCATACCTACCTACAAAGACATAAATTAGTTTATCATTATCATAATCTGTTTATTGAATAATTATATTATCATCATTGATTCGACAGGTGTAGGCTAAAACATTGTAGATATATTCCGATATTGATGATATCGGTTTAGATATAAATAGGTAGGTACAGTCGTCTTCAGAGAACATGTCGCACATGATGGGCGCAATAAGGGCGCTCATACAGTCCAACCGCGACATCATCTTCACTGAAAACGAGTGTATCTAGTATACCTATACCTTCTTATAAGTACAATATATACCTACCTATAGGAATTCGATTATAAGTACTTATATAAAGGAGATAAGTATGTACCTATATATACCTATTATAAAAGTGATTCTACATATACATATAGATATATATCTCATATACAATTATCATTAAATAATATAATAATTGAAATAGGCATAGATTAACGACTCCCCTTAATCTATGAAATATAGGTAAGTAACCTCTACCTATACATTGATTGCAATTGAAACCGTTCACTTATAAGTAGTAATGTCGTTTTTTATTTTTTGCTTTTTCGCGATTCTACCTACCTATTCAATATATTATGCGGACAGATATCAGAAGCATTTTTTTTTTCGTTGTTTTCGACATTCTGGAAAACATTTTCGCAATGGCAGGAATTTCAGTGATAACATGGCTTTCATAATGCGAGAATTTAGTAAAAATGTTAATGAAGTCGGTCTGACAGCATTTTTTCCTCAATACGGTGTTCTCAGAGTCCGAGACTCTGTGTGTTTTATACGACATGTACGAAATAAAAACTTGTCAAATCAGTGGGAATCAGCCAGTAGCCGAGTTCCGAGCAGTATGTGAGTCCCGCATACTCCGTTGCTTAGCTACCATGCCCATCCGAGTGTAAACACTTCCCCTCAAAAGAGGGGAGTGACGTAGGCGGCACCCGACGCGATTCCCGCCAATGCGTTAGGCTGGCAATGTGACGTCACGGCCAGCATGCCAGCCTAGGAGTGCCTGCAGGCGCGCGCAGGCCATAGCAATCAGCAGAGGGGGAAGTTGGATGTTGTGGTCCCCAGTCTCGGCATCCACACATTCAGTCTGTAATACAAACAGTGACGCCGTACGTGTAAACTGATATGCATAACGTATATACTGATTTGTTAGCAACACCTTGCCTGCCTTCACGGCAAAACGCGACCACGCGATAGATACGTCAGAGGGTGCGTGTGCGAGAATATTTTGGATTATTGGAGTGTGTAAAAGTGCGCAAAGTGTTCGAACACGAGGACAGTGTGGAGGAGCGCCCTTTACAGGGCATGGCGGCCACCACGTACCTGCCAGCTAGCAGTGCGGTCACCACAGACTTGGACGGCAACGTAGTCGGCATGAACATCGTCGGCGGATACCATTCCAGCGCCTCTCCCAGGTCAGCAGCTGACGCCAACGAGATGAAATACTTGCCCCAACACCACCACAACCACCACCACCACCTAGCCAGCTCACCCTCGCCCAGCGGCCATGCGGTGTCCTTATCCGCGAACCCATGGGTCAGTTTGCAACCGGGCGCTGACCCTTGGGCGGCCTCAATGGCTGGAATGCACCACGCGCATCATCACCACCCCCATCAGGACGTGAAACCGCTGACGCAGCAAACGCAGGACATGATGCACCACCAGAGGCAGCAGCAGCAGGCCTGGCATGGACCCACTGCCCACTATAATCCTGGCGGTGCCGCCTCGCCTCTACAGCAATATCACGCCGCCATGAACGGCATGCTGGCGCACCACCAAGCTCCCCAATTGCACCATCCGCTGCACAGGGACATGCAGAGCCCCCATCACCCCCAGCACCCTGACAGAGACGTGAGCGGGGGTGAGGATGAGACGCCTACGAGCGACGATCTCGAAGCTTTCGCGAAACAGTTCAAACAGCGAAGGATCAAGCTGGGTTTCACGCAAGCCGATGTCGGTTTAGCGCTGGGGACGTTGTATGGCAACGTGTTCTCGCAGACGACCATTTGCAGGTTCGAGGCGCTGCAGCTGAGTTTCAAGAATATGTGCAAGCTGAAACCGCTGCTGCAGAAGTGGCTGGAGGAGGCCGATTCGACGACGGGGTCGCCGACGTCGATAGACAAGATAGCGGCGCAAGGCAGGAAGAGGAAAAAGCGGACGAGCATCGAGGTGTCTGTAAAGGGGGCCCTCGAGCAACACTTCCACAAGCAGCCTAAGCCGTCGGCGCAGGAAATCACGTCGTTGGCGGACAGTTTGCAGCTGGAGAAGGAGGTGGTGCGAGTGTGGTTCTGCAATAGGCGACAGAAGGAGAAAAGGATGACGCCGCCCAACACGCTGGGCGGCGAGATGATGGAAGGTCTGCCGCCCGGGCATATGCATCCCGGCTACGGGCACCATCCGGATATGCACGGCTCGCCCATGGGGCAGCATTCGCACTCGCACAGTCCGCCCATGCTGTCGCCCCAGAGCATGGGGCACCAGCTGACTGCCCACTAGCATCCAGCCCACTGGGCCTCCCTGCTCCACAACAGCGACAACGGCTAGTGATTCGATTTAGATGTCGGGCCGATTGACGGCCGTCGGGGACACCTTGTTCACGCTACCTCAAAAAGCCAGGAGGGTCATCTTCTGAGGCGTTCGTCTGCCCTTAAGGGGGCCGTTGGGGGGTCCTGGTGGGACTCTGGGAAGACTCTTGTTATGAACGATGACTGATTGAGTGCGAGTGAGTACCTAAATAGACTAGAGGGCCGCGTAGTAGGTATGCACCCCGAAACGCACCACAGAGCTATTGTACATTGTTTGTAAATAAGAAGAGTGATAGGTCGCTTTCTCGAGAGAGGGCGGCTCCTTGTATAAATAACGATTTAGATTAAAGCTGCTGCGTTTGTACATAAGATGAAGAAGATTCAAGTACCGGTCCAACAGTAGAAAAACAAAAACCGTGATTTATACTAAACTACTTATACGCCGGAACGGTTGTCAATAAAACAAATTAACTCTAAGTTTTTAATGTACAGAATGTCGTATATATGAAAGTTGTCCTTATGTTGTTATGATTATTATTATTATTTTTTTGGTTCGAGTATCGTGCAGTTGAACATTAAATTTTCATAAGTAAATCCGTACTGTAATTATTGAAAAGTTTTCAACAATGATTTTATTTCAATGTGTATATTTATTATTTTATTAATTCCTATATCGTTGTACGGTGTGACATTAAATCGATTTCGTTTATGAAAAATCAGATAGTTTCATTTTGAGATCATCCATTTTCATCAAGATTTCTCGACTGTCTCATCGTTATATGGAAAAAATAGCACAAAAAGGTGTTGTTAGTATTATTTGTGAGGTGTGTACTTTTACAAAAAAGAACGGCAGCTTCTTATCAGGTATGTAAAATGTGTTTTCTATTTCCAAATATTCGCAATAGGTAATCGCAATAATAATTATCTGTGGTAGACTGAGGAAAAGTCACAAAGTATATAGGTATATGTAGGTAGATATCTCTATGATTAGAATTTTCGTGAAACAAGTGATTGGTATTTGCGAGGATATTTAATTAACTAGGTACCTAGGTACTTCGTTCATTGAAAAAATATTGAAAATCAGATTAGTTTGTTGAAATGAAGAATATTTTAAAATTTCAAAAATACTCACGTATAGATAGATTTATTGCACTGAATGAAAAATAATGTTTGATGGGAATATTGAAGAAAAGACTTATACCTATACAGTATGGTATAAACTGGAAAGGAAATTTACAAGATATAACGCCCCAAACAATAGCGCCGTTTTTCACTGTCCATCATTTCTGATGAAATAAAATGAAATGACTTCTCATAAGTATACCTATATTGCGAGTAAGCATTGATTTTTTTTTTCGTTGACAAGGTCTGCCGCCGATGTCAATTTTATTTCAAATAAGAACGTCTATAGGTAATTCTCTTTATTTTTATGACGATCAACGCAAAATAAAATGATTCCCATCTTGTTATTTTTAACTTGTGAGAATAATAAATGGAAATATCAAATTGTGAGAAATTATTGGAAAAATACTCACTATAACATTTAATTTTTTTGTATTCTTTTGCATATCTACCGAGATATCTACCTATACTGTATTTCATGGCACACTATAGTTAATTTCAAAACGAAATTCAACTCCTTTTCATCATTGGATTAAAAAAAAACATCCCCATCTGAAGAAAATAATAAAAATAAGCGTTCCCATTTCAAAAAATATCGAACGGCTGATGATTTTTACTTTCCAGTTATCGGACAGCAAATCAGTCAGTTACATTTTGAGAATATTGGTTGACTAAAAACATTCAGATGCCCGTTTGATTATCACACTCAGAATATACGTATGATGCAAATGCATGGAATTTCAAAACAATAAGACGACTTTCGAAAAAAAAAAAAAACAAAAACTAGAGTTTAGAACTTTTTTTTCGACGTATTTTTTTAACTAGATGTTCAATTCTCAGTAGCAGACCTCTGCAAGATTCAATTAATCACATGATAATCCATTTACATTTCAATCTTCTTATGCAACATTTTGACTGTTGAATAGACGATCGGTAGACCTTTCAATCAAGGTGTCACATGACCCCTATTTGTATTTGAAAAAATCGTCCATTACGTCTTTACTCCAACACCGGTGACGTAACATTTCTCATATAAATTTCATGAGATGAGGCTTCAGAAATTAAAACTCACGTGTTTTTGGAATTTTTTCAAATGTCGCCCATTTCTGAAATAATGAATTTATTCCATACATTTGCATCATACTATATATCTGGAATTGAAGCAAAAGTTTACAATAACAAAAATGGTTTTCTACGCTGACACCGTTTTAGCTCATATTTTAGATAAAAAGGGTTGATTAAGCATCGTTTCTTTGGTATATGAATACCATTCGAAATGTGGATGCATTCTTGAAATTGCTTAGCCGAACTTGTGAAAATACCTTCCACTCGACCTACCATCTGTTTCTATAATGGATTTGCCACATTTTTCAATCAACCAACAGAACCTCTTAGCATGATATAGTACCTGTGTTGGTACGATAAATAAATGAAAAAATAAATTAAAATCAGGATTCTTAGGATACCTACCTCTACTGTATTCAGAGTATAAAGGATATAGGAGAACGCGAGGGAGAAGCAAAAACATTGAACTAAATATTGGACCGATTTTCAATATTAATTTCAAATATACTTCCCAAATAAGGCCATAAGGTTGAATCTTCAACTGCCTACATAGAGCATAGAACATAGGCACCTTCTTGATTTTATTAGTTCCAAAAGTTCAGAGATGCTATATCCATAAAGTTACTAGGTACCTATATGGTATATTTCTCAGTATAAACCAAGTTAAGAGAATGTCTTTGAATCAAACCGTTTTTGATCACATGTAGGTACTCATTTCGAGCCGAGTTTCGAGCTATAATATTATAGTATAACCCATTAAATTGGAATTGAATCCTCATTATATCTGGGTTGTACAATATACAGAATACACCGAAGTATTTTCACTTGTGAAGAATTACCTATCACTCGCCTATTCATATTCTGCTATATCAGCGACACATGAAATTATGCAGTATATTTTTGAAAGTGATGATTTTATTGGTCGAAAATGTAAATTATGTGTACTTACTTATAATAATGCTCGTCGCAGTGAATTCTTATCTCAGCTCTGATTCCACCTCATTATACGTATTTTTTTGTGATAAGAAGATATGAATTATAAGTTTGGTGTTTTCCACGGTTCAAAAAAATCTTATCACCTGTGCTGTATTTTTTTAAAAGCACCAGACTTTTTGATATAGGATTTCATCGAAATAGGTATAGGTATAAGTAGATCCTGAAATTTTGTTCAAAAATTGTTCTTATCCATATTATTCCCGAGACTATTCCTATAATGAGTCATTTGAATACTTATGTTAAAAAATATTATATCTAGGTACCTATCTATTGATAATTAATACAGAAATTTGCTATTTTTTAAATATACCTACCCGCGAGTTCCTATACCTATATCCTAATCGAGATTATTTTAATCGAAAAGGATTCATTCCAATAAATCGTTATAGAATAACTAAATGAAATTGCTCATTAGTAGAATAATTCATTTCAGAATTGAATTACTTAAATAATTCACTATAATTATAAATGCTGATCTTGATTTGAAAATTGAATAAGCTAATTGAATAAGTACAATGTTTAAAGTGATATGAGACGAACTAATATAAAGATGCTTCTACCATTGAAATTATACCTACAGTTGTTTAATTCAGTGCTTAACAGAAAAGGTGTCATGTAGGTACATCTTTTTTGACTGAAAAATTTCGACTGGAATTACCTACTTAGTGATATACTTATAAAACATTTTTTTCTTATATTCATTCCTCTCTACTTTGATGAGAACTGATGAGATATGAAATATACCTCGGTGCGATCTCTGCAATGGCACGCTTTCTATAACACATCATATCTTCACGTGCCCAGTGTATATCCAACTGAGAAAAACATCGGGATTGAACCTGCACATATTGAGATATACATTAAGAAAGTACTCATGGAACAAAAATGACCACCACAATAAGATATAGGAAGAACCAAGGAAAGAACCTGGCAGCTAAATGATCTAAAAATCAAATTATGCATAATAAAAAAAAAAACGGCAAACGGTTGCTAATATTTGAGCAATAGGTATAGCGCTCGAGTTATAGGTAGCTATACTCGGGTACCTACTTAGAGTGTTTATTAGTTTTCAACGTTTTTCAATAAAACATTAGATAGATATACCTATTCTTACATATTTGATTTTTTACGAGATTTAGTAATCCATTGTAAGACATTGATCTCGACATTGATTCGACATTAATTCCCATATTCGATGAAAATGTATTACCTATATTCATCACTGAATCAGAAAAAATAAGAAAAATAATAGAGATTTATATATCAAGGGAGCAAAGGTATCCATTTTCTCCCGCGTGTGAAGTTTGATGTCCGATGCGTAGCGGAGGAAATTAAACACACATGGGAGGAAATGAACCTTTGTTTCCATCGGTTTCCATGAAATATAATATGATTTTATCCATGAACGCATAAATTTGAAAACATCATCCTTAAAATTATATGTGCTCAGGGGCGGTCTATCTCTCCCTCTCTCTGTCATAATGAATTTGTTTATTGTGTATTTACATTTGAAAGTATTGATCTCGGTATTGATTAAGTAAGTTTGGAACTCGGTTTGGAATATGAGGAAGTATACGAGGAAGTATATGTTACCATATATAATTGGAATTCAAGAAGAAAATTGTGATTTGTTTTATAATAACATTGACAATAATTGATGGATAGCATGGATCTTATACGTAGGTATATCTCTGCCAAGCATGCTGAAACCAATTTATTTTACCTAGGTAATGTTTTTTTTTTCTCCCGTGGGAGAAAAATGACAGCTTTGTATACTTGAATCAGGGA